TCTGGGTGACTACAATAACATCTCAGATGCCCACCCTCCCTCCTCATTTGGGTATTTTCCAGGCTCAGCCAATTACATACCCTAGAATTGAGGATAATTTCTTAAGGTTAGTCTTATCATGTGACTCCCCTGTTTATAATCCTTATCAATTCCTTTCAGGATAAGATCCAAATGGTATAATGTATAATTAGGAGACAGTATATCTCAGATTTCTCTGATGTAGGAAAAGAAGTAAATTCAAAGGTTGAGCGGAGGATGGAGATGACCAGTTCAGGTTTAGACAGTTTTAATTTTTAATTTGAAGTTCTTATGAGATATCCAGTTGGAAATGTTCAGTGTGTGTGTGTGTGTGTGTGTGTGTGTGTGTGTGTGTGTGTGTGTGTTTTAACTGGCCTTTCAAACAAGAAAGAAACCAAGCAAATTTATTCAAAAGATAATACCAGTGACACTGTTATTACCCATCCCAGGAGCATTTGTTTGCATTAAATAATATGAGGGAAATGGTTAATTCATACATATAAAGAAATTTCAAAACATAGGACCTCAAGCACAACATAATTGAGTTGGAAAGGTATTTTTAAAGGGTAGGACTTGGCCTTTCTAAATATTCTGTTTATGTATTTTATACATGCAGTAAAAGGCACTGGTTTCAGAGACACTGCTGTAAAATCCACCATGGCTGAAACATGCAAATCAGCACAGAATGTTTGCTAGAGGGCAAGTCAGAGCAATGCCATTGAAGTAGCCTGTATACGCATATCTCATTGGTGACATCTTGAGCTCTGTTAATGAATTCCTATTTGAGATAAATGCATCTGCTTGTATCTCAAAAGACTAAATTCACGGAGCCGTGACTAAGATATTTCATAGATGCTCTCCAAGGACTTTAAAAGACAAAATGACAGGAAATTTACTAAATCCATACAGCTAACCTGAAGAAAACGTTAAGCAAAATTCAGAAGCTTCTCAATCCTCTTTTATAGTCTGACAATTTTAATGAATGATGCCCTAAATTTGTCCACCAATTTCTAGAGATATGATTTTTTACTGTGATGTCTGTGTTGACTTCTAAACAGTGCTAATTTCTGTCCTAGAATATAATATATATCAGAATTTCATTCCTCCATTGAATAGACCCCTCTAAATATTGAAAAAGCAAAGACTCTCTGTTTAAAAGAATTGAACAAAAAATACCTTAGAAAATAAGAGAAAATGCTAGGATTTTTATGTAGAAGAAAGCTCTACAGAATTTTGCTTACAATTATGAATAGAACTCCTAAGGGCTGCAGATGACATCTTTACCTCAAATTGTTTCTCTCCTAAATCATTGATAATAGAAGGCCCTGGCATTGTGAAGTAAACCCTGAAGCTCACTGCATATAAACTCAAAAGGGTATTATTTTCATGGTTCAGTTAACAAGAGAAGTGAAACTCACGCCATTATTTGACTTGCTTAAAATTACCCTTTTTGTATTTTAAGCTCTCCTATCCCATATATTAGCAATTATTTGGCCCTTAGCATTCTCCTTGAAACTGTCCTCCTCTGCCTATTTCTCCTCTTGTTCCTGATGACATTTTTTACTCCATAGCTTCAAGCTATCCCTCAACCACAAAGGTAGTTGAAGCAACATCCAAAAATACCAGCTCCCAGGAGCTGTTAGTTCTGTGCTTTGAGTATAAAACGGGTCTCAAGCCTGGGTAATAACTGAATTCATGAATGTCAATTCCCAGATGACATTAATAGCAGCATAGAGCAGGAAGCGGAGTTATGTTAATTTCTGCAGGTAATGCGTGAAAGCAGATAGGGAAAGCTTGAAAGGTCAACATCTGCTGTCATGCAGGAGTGTTGCAAAATGTGATTGGCCAGTAAATGTCAACACCATGTTCTAAAATCTACATGCCACCCTTTCAATTTAATCGTAGCTTGCAGCCCAGCTAACAATCATGCAGCATGTTTCAAAAGCCCTTGAATTCTAAAATGGAATTGTATGATTGCATTCCCATGGCAATAAGACACCTGTAAATTACAAACTTGTCATTTAATCAGTATAAATGTAGGGAGTTTGTGCAACCACTGTGAATTTTTTTGTATCTATTTTCAGGGAAGGCTGAAGACCTCTTAATGATTATATACCATAACGAACTGCAGGTCTAACTGTTGCCATGGCATTACGTACTTTTTTTCTTTTAAAGAAGTGACTGGAATGTAGAGCAGATAATGAATCTAATTGATTGTCCTCTGCTCCACACAGATATGCTTTATATTCTTTCCCTTTTGTGTTCTTCTTCCTTTTCACTGTAGATTGGATTCATAGGTATGCAATTCAGTGACAAGAATGGCTCTCATACAGACCAACCCCCCACCTTAAAAAATTGAATAAATATAAAATAATCTGCTTTGAAAAATGTCTATAACAAAAAGGTGTATGTATAAAGAACATAGAAGAAAAAAAATTACATTCACCATACAAACTGGCAGATTAAATCAGTAAGAAGGAAGACAATAGGTTTTTCTCTAAAATCAGGACATGTCTTATAGGATCACAGTGTCCAAGGTTATGCGTAGGTTCTTTTTCATTAAACTAAGGCTAAGTTAGAGAATCTAAAACTTTACATATATTCAAATTTAATATATCATCAGCATATTTAATAGGTAACTGAATTTTGAAAACATCATTATTATTAACATGTATTTGCCAACTGGAAGCTGGCAAATATGTATTAATAATTTATAGCACAAAGCACAAAGTATAACATAATTAACTATCATTTTCAGGCCATGAAAAATGACCAAAGAGAATTTTTACTGAGAGTATTTTAGCTTGGGTAAATATTTTGGACAGAATAACAAATACTTGGCTTCAGAGTACACAGTCCTCCTACATCTATAGGCTTACATTTATAGATCATAGGTACAGATGCTTCATAGATATAGGTATAGATGATTATATAGGTATACATCATAGGCATAGATGATTCATAGATGATTCATAGATCATAGGTATCAATGAGTCCTAAAATAAAAATCTATAAATGAATGAATTTATTCATTTGAGAGACTTGCCCAAAGTCACACAATCAGGTGAGGAGTGTGGCTGGATCCCAGTCTTCCTGATTCAATTTCATTAAGTGCACTTTCTACTACTGAAAAGTGCAGGTGATATTTTTGTTTTTTGTTTTTGAGACTGAGTCTTCCTCTTGTTGCTCACTGCAACCTCCACCTCCCGGACCGAAGTGATTCTCCTGCCTCAGACCCCTGGATAGCTGGAATTACAGGCAGGTTCACCACACCTGGCTAATTTTTTGTATTTTTAGTAGAGATGGGGTTTCACCATGTTGGCCAGGCTGGTTTCGACCTCCTGACCTCAGGAGGCCTTGGCCTCCCAAAGTGCTGGGGTTACAGGCATGAGCCACCCCACTCAGCCGAGTGCAAGGTGATATTTATATGTCTCTCAAATTATAATACATAAAAAAGTTAAAAAATATATTTTTTCTCTCTGAAAAGAATTAATATAGACACGTATTTCCTGAGTTGCTGCTTAGTATCTGTAAGTTATGCCAGAGCATAAATGATATGCTCACATTTAATATTAGGTATTCCTACTAGAGTTTACAAAAGTTTGTATTAGAAAATATAATATGGTTTTTAAAAGAAAAGAAGAAACAAAATATTAAAAATAGCATTATAACATAACTCCTTTATCTCAAAAATCTTGAATCATGACATGCTATCTCCTTGATTTTATTGTCAACCTAAAATATGAATCTAATGCCTGCCTGAGAACGTGTAAAATGTAGTTTTCTTTGTTTCAGTGATCATATGCTATGAAAGGTGATATACTTGTTAAAGATGCCCACCTTTTATTCTGCTCAAACACTCATTAAGCACATACAGTAGCACATACAGTAGTTGGCACATCTTTCCACTTTCTACCATGAATTAGTGAGGCTGTTTTCAGTTATGCTAAGAAACCTACTAATCCACATGTGGAAGTAGGTGCTAATTGCTTATATCAGTTATTGGCCCCTGGGCAAAGGGGGCCCTATTTACTCTCTGTTGACAGTTCACGTCTAATCCAAGAGTTTAACTGACTTCACCTCCCCTGCACAGTCAGCTAACATGGAAATGCTTCCATGCTTAAACATAAAATGCCATTAAAATACATATGCACTTTGAAATAAATAAAGAACAATGGCATATTTTATCCTTCTTCCAAATAAAATAGGCCCACCAAGTCATATTAGTCACCAAAAGCATGATCAGTGACATAAGAATAATTATTTCCTCTTTGAAAAAGGAAAATAAATTGGAAGAAATCTTCCTGAATTTTTGACTTTTGAATACGTTATGGCTAATCTTTTAAAAAATTATGAAAGCCTGTCAGTTACTGAAATTGTCAGTATAGCCTCCATGTGTTATTCTTTTGTAGCTGAATACTTATTAATATACTACAAAACTTGATCTGGAATATTTCAAGGAAATGCTTTGTTGTAAGCTACCTGAAATCTCTCACATCATCATTTCTTTCTTACCTGATGGCAACTCCTAAATTTGTATCATTTCTTCTTTTAAGTTCCATATTACAACATCCACAAGAAATCTGTCTCTAGGTATCCTCCTAAGAACCTCACACTCACCATGCATAAAATGAAATTAAGTACTTTTTGTCTCCTTCTTCTTTTAATTTGTTGCATTACTTGCTGATATTAGCTCAATCTAAGACATGAAATTGTAGTCATTTTTGCTTTTTTCTTCTAGATCATTCTTCATATAGAACATACATCCCCAACATTTGGCACCATGGCCAGGTTTAATGGTAGACAATTTTTCCACAGACTGGAGTGGGTGGGGGTTGGGAGGGAATGGTTTTGGGATGAAACTGTTCCACCTCAGATCATCAGGCATTAAACTCTCATGAGGAATGTGCAATCTAGATCCTTTGCACATGCAGGTCAAAATAGGGTTCATGCTTCTATGAGAATCTAGTGGCACCTCTTACCTGACAGGAGGTGAAAATCAGGCCATAATGGTCTCTTGCCTGCTGCTCACTTCCTGCTGTGTGGTCTGGTTCCATGGCTCCAGTACTTTTCAATGGCCTGGAGGTTGGGGATCCCTGACATAGAATATACATGAAAAGGATGATGTCAGTAATGCCAAAGTTGAGGTGAGTTAAGGGATCTGAGTAAATTTCTTACCTTTTAAATATATTATTCTAAAGGACAAAGGAAATGGATAAAATTCACAATTTGACAGGGAAACTTTCTTATTCAAATGTTTTAAAGAGCCTGGTTATATACTCAAAGGAACATATATCATTCTGTTATAAAGACACCTGCACATGTATGTTCATTGCAACACTATTCACAGTAGCAAAGACATGAAATCAACTTAAATGCCCATCAATTATAGGCTGGATAAGAAAAAAAAATTGTGGTACATATATACTGTGGAATACTATGCAGCCATTAAAAAGACCGAGATCATGTGGTTTGCAGGAACATAGGTAGAACTGGACACCATTATCCCTAACAAACTACTGCAGAAACAGAAAACTACTGCATTTTATCACTTATAAGTGGGAGCTAAATGATGAGAACTCATGAGCGGAGAGAGGGAAACAACACATACTGGAGTTTATCAGAAGGTAGAGGGTGGGAGGCAATAGAGGATCAGGAAAGATAACTAATGAATACCAGGCTTAATACATGGGTAATAAAATAATCTGTACAACAAACCCAATGACACAAGTTTACTTCATAGCAAACCTGCACGTGTACCCCTGAATTTAAAATAGATGTTAAAAAAGAAAAAATGTAATAAAGAGCCATGTATTTTCTCATAAAACGTTAAACTTATTTTATAATTTAAATTTGAGTATTGCCAAATTTTATTGTCAAATGTCTCACGAAAGCATATATACACAAACACACACTCCTAGATTAAACTATCAAAGTGCTGCTGGGTTTTTTTTTTAATCTTCAGCAGTTTAGAAACATTTTAAGAATCCTGTCCCCTTCCCTCATCCAGCACAGAAGATTGAATGGATCTCCTAACTATACTGATGATAAGAAGAGAAAGATAAACCAGAGAAGTCATTCTTGCCTTTAGGGATTCACCTGGTAAATTGCTGCTTAAAGAGTGCTGTCAATAAGTTAACTTCTTTACTGTCGGGAGCAATTCTCTGCTGGCGGTAAGATGGACAAGATGACCTAATAGATCTTTTTTCATCTCAAGATCCAAAGTTTCTTTTCAGGGAACTGTGACTGAAGAACAGAAACAGTGTTTAGGACCTGTCCTCAAAATTTTAACTTTAAAATAATTTATATCTTATTATTTGCTTTTTTAACGAACTGATTTAAATTCTCTAAAAATAATCTTTCATTACTCACAGATTGTATTGCTGTGTTTATTTTTAAAATAATGAAATATTTAAGAGATACTGCAGAACTTAATATCACAGGATGGAGATTTCTTCTTGTATCTTCTTTGTTTCCAGCACCCATATTACCTAAAGAGGAGGATTTTTCCTCTTCCATTTCTGTATCTTTCAGTCAGCAGACAGACATAGTGAAATGGTTAAAAGCACAGACATTAGAACTAGGTTGGGTTTTTAAATATGAATCCTCAGCCTATTACAAGTGTGATCTTGGACAAATATCATCCACCTCTCTCTGTCCCAGTTTATATGTAACATAGAGATACAGATAAAGCTCCTACCTTATGTGGCTTCTTTCTTAGGTTTTGTAATGAGGATTAATGAGTTAATATACGTAAAGCACTTAGAAGACTCTCTGGCACATACTAAGTGTTTGTAAGTGTTTTCTACTATGGCTACTATGGTGATAAGGATTATTATTATTATGGCAATTCTTATTAAATTCACTGTTCTTAGGAATGTTAAATTATTCTCCAATTACATACATTAAAAAAAATCAGTTCTAGAAACCATGCCACCTTAGGATCCCATGTTTGATGAGTGGCTCAGTGGTTTATGCACTATCCTTGCTAAGTTAGGGTGGTAAAGTTGGTTGAAATAAAGACTTGAAAATAATAGAGAACTTTGAAATTTAAACCATAAAGGGACCTTGCATGTGTGAAGGAAATGATAATTGCGTGACACCGTTACTTCTCCTATATCATGGCACTTCTCAAATAGCATGCAGAGAGTTACTGGAGACATCAATGTAGCATATGGTGAGAACAAACAAGATATCATTGGTTTAAGAAAGATTATATTTTGAGCAGTTTCATAGAGGCATTTTTATTAAATTGATATGTTATTTATAATAACTTACAAAAAAGTTTCACATTTCTACTAACTTTAAATTCAGGTGACCACCAGAACTTCACTTCCTTTCTGAGTTTGTCCTCACTGGCTCTAATGGGAATGTAATTGTCATTGCACTGTGTAAGCTCACTAAATCCCCAGGTGCATAACTTACTTATAGAATTATCTTGTTTAGAGACTGAGCATCTCATTAATTAGGGTGTGAACCACTTAGTAGTAACAGCACTTTCTATTTTTGCAATTCTCAGCATCTATCATACTGCTTGGTATAAAGCAGGTTTCAATAAAAGATTATTGAATGAGTAAATGAATGAATTCATGTTGTATGTCTCCCAAAATTGATTTTTGAAACTATTTATTCCTCCAATGTGATGGTGATATGGTCCTCTGTACTCATGCCTTTTATTATTGAGAAAGAAGAAAATGAAATAATAGCACATGGCTTGGTAAATATGAATTTATTATATAACTGAGATTTGCCTTTAAGGTTCATCAGCTTTCACAGATCCAATATACAGTCACATTTTAGTGTTCAAAATGTCTATTTGGTCCTGAAAATTATTTCTGTTGGTTTCATATAATTTATTGTTATAAAATTTTCTATAAAAAGGACTGAATCTGAGATCTGGGTACATACAGACAAAGCCAAACTATTATTAAATGTATTTCATGGTGCATAAAATATAGCAAATACATAATTTATATTTTCACTGAATTTTCTGTTATTAATGACCATGATTTTACTATACCTTATAATTATTTTTCATACTGCTTTGAAAACTAAAATTATAGGAAATTCTTTTTGCTTTATTTCAGTACCTTTTCTTCTTTACTCTCACACATTTAAAGAATAGTTTCTGAAGATGCAGATAACTAACATAGATTTATATTTTCTGCCTTCTTGGAAGAAAGCAAATTTTGAAATAAAGGAGGACTTGGATGAGGTTGCTGAGGTTAAAAATTCTCTACGTAGAAAATTCTTTCCAGCTAAGGCATTTCAGAGTGGAATAAAAAATGCTTGGGAAAAAAACCCTTCCTATCTTTGCCCATAAGGAAATAAAGTTACAATGACAGTCACCTAATCTAATAACTTCTCTTATTCCTGTCATAGGTTCACCTTGTAGGTGTACTGGTTTTCCTCATTTTCATTCTTTTCACTGATCCTTTTTTAGCCTGTGATTCCCTGCTGAAATCTATTGAAAAGTGCACAATTGCAATTTTAGCATTAAATTTCTCTTTAATACTGCTTGTCACTTTTCCTCTCATTGATTCAAAGCTACGTGCCAAGTCAATGGAACAATGTGAGTTTAATTCTTTCTTTGACTTAGTTACCTTCCTTCTTCAAGCAGCAGCAATTAGAACACACAACACCTTGATTTTTTTTTTTGATATAATTAATGAGTAGTTCTTATAACTATCTGTTATTGATTCCCTCAACTTTTCATCCTTTCATTCTCACTGCATTCCACTCCGCTCCCCACAATGTTAGCCATGGCAGAAGTAGGACATCTGCTTAGGAAAACATTTAGATTGCTAATGATTCTTTTTAACATCTGTTACACTGCTACTGAACAGTTGTTGTTTCTTTAAGGAGGCTCAAGGGACAAAACCTATGTCACCTTAATAGTGAGTACTTTTTGAAAGTGGTAAGCCCTATGCCTCTGGGAGCCATGCAACAGTGCTATTGTGTACATACATAAACTTAATGCTTCTGGTCTGACATTTTATCTTTGTCCACTGCAGTATTTCTGATTATACTACTTTGTGTCTGGTTATTTTAATACTTAATAGATGTGTTTGTCTTCCTACTCCATTGTTTATTACAGTTGTACTTTTAAAGAAAAAGACTATTAAGCACAAAACATATCTCATATCCTTATTGACTTAGATGTGAGCTTTTTATTTAAAAAATTCAAATAGACTTTGGTAGCAACATCTAAATCTGTATGACAATTCTTAATAAGGAAATGACTTGATAAAATAGATTGGGATTAAATTTTTTATAATTTTCTTTTCAGTAAACGTATATATACTCATTCACAAATACTTTACATGAAAAGAAATTAAAAATTCTTTTTAATGTGTCTTCTCAGAGCATCCTGAAAATACCCTCTCCTGTTTCCATGTTGTAAAACAGAATGTTTCTCACACATTCAGAATACAGGGACCAGACAAGATGTAATGCACATCAAAATTAACCCTCTGGTAATTCAACAGTACGGCAAAATATCTAAAAGGAATTTTAGAGATTCGGGCCTGGCCAAAAGAAAACTGGCATGAGATGATTGTATTCTGCTAATTAATTCTCCATTCAATTTTAGATTAAACCAAATCCAATATCTACGGGAGTTGCCACTTGGTTTTTATTTGTTAGTTAATCTTTCCTATACACAAATACATATAGATAGATATAGATACTAGATAGATGGCTAGCTTTCTCATATTCTGCACAGACTCACTATTTCCATTGTCTTTCCTCTGCAAAAAGCCATATTGTAATGTCTGGATAAATCAATTATGATGCTGGGAAAAAATAACCCACTGTTTTTATAGGAAATTATATAACTACAAAGAATATCTTCTACTTTATATAATAAATTATGATTCTAAGATCAGTCACATGAATTGGATATTTTTCCTCTAACACCTAGAGGTAATTGTTATTAATATCTTTATAAAACTTAAGTTAAAGACAAGCACAAAAATCAAACAGTTAATTCAACTCATTAGGTTCTTCCACTTTTGACTTTCACTTAGCTTTAACTAGTTTGGGTATACTGCTCCAGCATTTTAGACATTTATTAAGGAGGTTATTCTCAAAAGTAAATCATTGGTAGTTTGTTAAGCCAATTAAATGAATGTATAATGCAATTTTGTGTGAAGATATAGAATTTAAAAGCAAAATATGTTTAGTTTTTTTCTTCTCTCCTAACACTGTTGAGTAATTGATATTATATTGCTTGGTTGATAAGTCACGGAATTAAAAAATATTGTTGTAGACAACAGCTATTAACTGGCATATTAGGAGTAAATAGCATGGTTTAAACAGACCATGTATTTATATAAAATCTAGCACAAGTAACTATTTAGTACAGTCCAAAATATGACAACTAATATTTATTTTATTTGATTGTAAATCTAGGGTACTCTGACTTTTAGATTATTATGTTTTTCAAATACACTAAAATCATGCATCATAATTGAGTTTTGATTTAATCATACAAAATGGGATTCCTACATAGAAAATTTAAGCACTTAAGCATTTTATTATATCATTCTGTTGAATTTTAATTAAAAAAATCAATTGTAAACTTTTAAACTGAAAACATATTAATATCATTGTGCAACCTTTTCCTCATTACTTCACATATACCTCAATTCAAGAACCTTGTGATTTTCATTCAATGAGATGTTTCAGTTAAAGTATGGGATATCTCCGACAATCCAGAGGAGCCTTATTCTAGCTCAGGTCCTATGAGTAAAGAAGTCTTCAAAGTAGTTATTTTACTTCATGGTTTCTAAGGCTTGCTTTTCTTTCATTTTTCTCCTTCCCTCCTTTCTTCCTTTCTTCTTTCCTTCTTTTTTAATAGGATATTTTAACATCTCTAAAATTTATATGCATCTTATGGTTAATGACTAAACTCAATTTAATACATCATATTTTTCTTTCTTAGTGTACACAAAGTAATTATACATCTTACTGTAATGACATCTTAGGGTCAATAACACAATAAGTAAGCACTAAAAATATGTTGAACTTAGAACATATTGGTTGGATTATGTATACTATTTTCTTAAACCAACAGCTAATGATTGATGCCTTTTATCCTTTCTGAGTTACCTAAAATTAATCCTAGCCACTCACTAAAATTTTAAAGCTGTTTATTTCCTGCTTCATTTTCCTCAGCCAATTCTCCAAATCACAAGTTTAAGAGAAAAAACAGTGACCCTGAAGAGCAAAAGATGTAGATCATATCTGCCAGATCATGAGATCACAGTACTCAGTATTTTGCAGAACATTATGACATACTCAAGTGCATAATTATAATGCCACATCCAAAATCGTCTAGCATATTCTCAGATGGTATTTCATTATATGAATAGATTTTGTCCACATATCTTAAACTTTAAAAATACCCACCCAGGTGAGAGATCCAGGATGGCTGATTACTAGCAGCTCAGGATTGTATCTCCCAGTGAAAGCACAGAGAATGAGAGGACACCACACTTTCAGACGATTCGCAGCGGAGGAGCCCCATGGGTCGCCAGCGTGAGTCTTGTGGCTGGCTCAGCGGTTCTTGGTGCAGAGTAAATGGGACTGGGTCCCCTTTTGGTCGATGTTTGGAGCTCCAGGAAGGCAGAGTCGCCTATTCAGCTGATTGAAAAAGGGACTCAAGAAGGAAGCCAGACCGGAGATTCCCAGGCAGAAAAGCAGCACGAATCTTAACGCCGCTGTTTTGGCCGGCGCAGTGGGTTGCTCAGATTCCGGCACTGGGAATCAACAAGTTGGATGTCCACTCAGAGACCTAATTTGAAAGTTGGTAATTACAAAGATGACAGGTGAATAAATTTACAATGATGGGAAGAAACCAGCGTAAAAAGGCTGAGAATACCCAAAATCAGAATGCCTCTCCCTCTACAGGGGATCACAGTTCCTCATCAACAAGAGAACAAGGCCTGATGGAGAACGAGTGTGTTCCATTAACAGATTTAGGCTTCAGAAGGTGGATAATAAGAAACTTCTGTGAGTTAAAAGAACATGTTCTAGCCCAATGTAAAGAAACTAAGAACCTTGAAAAAAGATTTGACGAAATCCTAAGGAAAATAGACAATCTAGAGAGGAATATAAGTGAATTAATGGAACTGAAGAATACAATACGAGAACTCCATGAAGTATGCACAGGTTTTAACAGTCAAATTGATCAAGCAGAAGAAAGGATATCAGAAGTTGAAGACCAACTTAATGAAATGAAACGAGAAGACAAGATTAGAGAAGAAAGAGTAAAAAGAAATGAGCAAAATCTTCAAGAAATATGGGACTATGTGAGAAGACCTAATTTACATTTGATAGGTGTACCTGAATGTCATGAAGAGAATGAATCCAAGCTGGAAAATATTCTTCAGGATATTATTCAGGAAAACTTTCCTAACCTAGCAAGGCAGGAAAATACTCAACTTCAGGTAATACAGAGAACACCACAAAGATATTCCTCAAGAAGAGTAGCCCCAAGACACATAATCGTTAGATTCACCATGGTTGAAATAAAGGAGAAAATTCTAAGGGCAGCTAGAAAGGTCAGGTTACCCATAAAGGGAAGCCTATCAGACTCACAGCAGATCTCTCAGCTGAAACGCTACAAATTAGAAGAGAGTGGGGGTCAATATTCAGTATCCTCAAAGAAAAGAATTTTCAACCCAGAATCTCATATCCAGCCAAATTAAGCTTCATAAATAAAGGAAAAATAAAATTTTTCATGAACAAGCAAGCACTCAGAGATTTCATCACCACCAGGCCTGCTTTACAAGAGCTTCTGAAAGAAGCACTATACACAGAAAGGAACAACCAGTATCAGTCATCCCAAAAACTTACCAAAAGGTAAAGAGTATGTCCATAATGAAGAATCTATATCAACTAATGCGCAAAATAGCCAGCTAGCATTAAACGACAATATTAAACTCACAAATATCAATATTAATCCTAAATTTAAATGGATTAAATGCCCCATCAAAGACACAGACAGGCAAATTGAATAAAAAGTCAAAACCCATCGGTTTGCTGTATCCAGATCCATCTCATAAGCAAGGACACACAAAGACTCAAAACAAAGGGTTGGTGGAAGACTTACCAATCAAATGGAGAG